ACAAAACAAAACTCACCTGGCTCAAAAACACACGGTTCGGCCTCTCCCGTGTGCTGCTCTCCGCCCCAGCTGGGGTGGGGGGTGTTGGGGGGGCTCACTGACCAGCAAGCCACAGACCAGCTCTCATTTCGTCTGAGGTGTTTCCTTTCTCCTACGCCTGGAGCCTCACTACGGCTGTTCTGGTGTTAAGTGTGTATGCAGGCCCCTTACAGAATGTCACACACATTTTGTAACATTTATCTTGCAACATTTATTTCGCAACCTTTGAAATACGTGACCAAGCACAGGGATAAGAATTTCAGACACAGTGCAGGCCCCCCCGCTCTGAACACTGGCCGCCTGCCCACCAGGTCAAAACCAGACTCGGTTTGGTGTTTGTTTATCTCCGTCTTGCGTATGCTTTTCCTACGTGGGTCTGTAGCGCAGAGCAAAGCAGGGCAGGACATCGCACGTTTTCGGTGTAATAAACGCTATCAAGCGGTAAGAGTTCGAGCGTCCGTCACCACGGCGAGGCAGAGACACCCCCGGTCACCTGCGGAGAGCCACCCCCCCAACCCTGGGTCTTGGGAACCGGGGGGCTGTTCTGCTCCCTCTTAACCTTCTTATTTGCAGAATGTCAAATAGTCGGAGTGACACCGAACGCAGCCTTTCGAGCCTGGCTTGTCACTCGGCACAATCCCCTTGAGATCCATCCAGATGTGTCCCTTTTTTCGGCTGAACGGCGGTCCGCCACATCCCGCCGCCAGTCTGTTTTCCCGCTCAGCCGTGGGACGACCGTGGAGTGTCGCCGGCCTGGGTTTGTGAGTAGTGAAATTGCCACGAATATTTACACTCGGACTGGCGTGTGAACTACTGTCGCTTCTCTAGGATGCTGCGTGTTTGTGTAAGCGACGGCCAGACTGTTTCTACACTACGTCGGCGTCGGCCCGCAGCACCGGTGTGGGGGGGACGAGACCCAGGAGCCACGTGTCCCCGTCGGGACTTCGCCAGAACCTGTTTTCATTCTTCTTTCAAAACAACTGTGATCTAAAGCCAGCGTTTTTTATCTTTGCCCCAGACAAGTGGATTTGAAATTATGTGGAGCCAACGCATGACATCCATCCTGTGCTTTCACATGTTTTTAATGTTGATTTATTTTTGAGAGAGAGCGAGAGAGACAGCGTGAGCAGGGGAGAGTCAGAGAGAGAGGGAGTCACAGGATCCGAAGCAGCTCCAGGCTCTGAGCTGTCAGCACAGAGCCCGACGCGGGGCTCGAACCCACAAACCGCGAGATCACGACCTAAGCTGAAGTCGGACGCCCAACCGACTGAGCCCCCAAGAGCCCCGGCTACAGATATTTTTAAGAGAATCCTGGTCTTTGCATGTAGTGACGCTGATTTGTGTGCGTGTCCAGAGCCACCTGTGATGACCTGTGAAGATTTGTGTCGTATTCTTATTATCGCTCAGCTTTTCTCACAAAACATCGATTGCTGCACTTTCGGAGGCTGACTGTTCTTGCAAACTGGTTTTGCTCCGTAGATGGTTCCGTACATCAGGTCTGCCGGGTGGGGGGCTGGGGGCGCAGCACCATCAGTGCTCTGTAAATTCCGGTGTCGTTGCCCCTGGGCTTGGTGCGACTGAAAAGCTGTGACTACGTTTGTGTAATTTCTAGAGTCTGATTTTTTGAGCCATCACATCTGCCCCCTTGGTGTCTCTAAGGGAATTCTCAGCTCTGTTTTCATCGACATCCCCATTTCAGTGTGTTAGAAATTCACCCACAGGCTGGTACATTTTCAAAAATTTAAATTGTACATGATGCCCATTATTTCTCACCAGAAAGTAAATTGCAAATTGGAACTGAGGTCAAGTTGATATACCTCAGTTTAAAAAAAAAAAGTTTCTTATTTATTTTGAGAGAGAGAGAGAACAGGGGAGGGGCAGAGAGAGAGGGAGAGAGAGAATCCGAAGCAGCTCTGAACTCAGCACGGAGCCTGACGTGGGCCTCGATCTCAAGAACCGTGAAATCGGAACCTGAGCCGAAATCAAGAGTTAGATTTAACCCAGCTGAGCCACCCGGGTGCCCCACTACCTCAGTTTTAAGGTTAAAATTCTGTTCAGTTATTCAGATGCAAATTGCATTACACAATTACAGGGGAATATATTGTGACTAAACATTCCAAAGTAATTTTAATTTTGTGTCTATCACTAAAAACATATTTTTACTTAGAGAACTATTTATTTTTATGTTCAAGAAATATATCTGGATGTTCGATTTCATATTCTGAGGAACATTTGTAAAAAGCCCCAAGGAAGAAAATGCAGAACAGATCCCGAGGGTGGGTTACTTAAAGCAGCCACATTGAGCTATGATGTTTGACACCTAATATGATTAATCCATTTTTTGTTAAGTTATCAATACGAGATATAAGTTGATACGCTCTTTTTCATTACTTCCTTTATTATCATGCAATGTTAAGAGGCTAAAATTAGAAGTTTTTTGTGGGGCACCTGGGTGGCTCAGTTGGCTAAGTGCCTGACTTCAGCTCAGGTCATGATCTCACGGTTCGAGCTCAGGTCATGATCTCACGGTTCGTGGGTTCGAGCCCCGCGTCGGGGTCTGTGCTGACAGCTCAGAGCCTAGAGCCTGTTTCAGATTCTGTGTCTCCCTCTCTCTCTGACCCTCCCCTGCTCACGCTGTCTCTCTCTCTCTCTCTCTTTCAAAATTAAATAAACATAAAAAAAAGTTATAAGCTTTTTGTAAGTGGGAGTTTGATTTAAAAAAACAGTATTTTTTTGGTCAATATATTTGCATTTGAAAATCGAACCTTTTATGTTCAGCTTTTGGGAATAAGTGCATAAAACTCATGAACAAAACATAGGAAATAACTTTATTAATTTATTAGATATTTTCATCACGCTGCTCCCGGGCAGTTAGCATATTTTGTGAGAGAAAAGTATCTCCACCGCTGCAAACTAACCACTAGCGGCCGCCGGTGGGCGCTCAGTGCCGTCAGCCTCCGTCGTGAATCGTGTTTCCATCGGAGCGCGGTCTTGTTCTAGGCTCTTGAGTCTGGTGGCCTGTGTTTTTCTTTCCCCACAGTAGTAGTTAGTGATGACACCAATTATAAAATTATAAAATAATTTTAGCCTGAACTCTGATAGGCAATTAATTCCCTCTATTTCTCTAAAGGCATCAAGTCTACTCCCTGCGAATGTCTGAATTGTAGACAGCTGGTGAAATAAAAATTTCGAGGAGATCTGACTGGAATTGAATGAGACGATTAATTTGAGAGACGCGCGTGTCTTTACGGTGTTCGGTCTTCCCGTCCGCGGTTTGATAGAATCCCTGTGTCCACGTGGCCTGTTTTCTTGTTGAGTACTTACGTCTCTAGGAGGAAACGTCTAAATGTCTTTTCTCAACAATTTTGCTATTTTTTCATTTGCTGGTGGGTTTGGACTAGACTCCACTGCCGCCTGGCAAATCTTTACTCAGCTCCGAAGTCTCAGCTCAAATGTCACCTCCTCCGGGAAGTCTCCCTCACTGCTCCTGCCACTGAGCGCATTTTGCATATACTCGTAAGACTTCCCCACGGCCCCTCGCACGCCAGAGATCGAGTTACTCTCTGAGCATCGACTCCTGTAACCGTCAAGGCAACCGTCTAGAATCGGCTGGTGTTAGTATCCCCATTTATGAAAAAACGCTTCAGTGCGGCAATGCCAGGACCCAGGCCCAGGCAGCAGGGCTCCGGGGCGCGCCTCTGACCGTGTTGTACCCCCTCAAAAGCCCTTGTATTACCCGCTGGAATGGCTCACCTGTCTCTATGCACACGTCCCAGAGGAAAGGCTCTGAGAGCGTGCGCTGCACCGGGCACGTGGAAGGTGCTGGCTGGCAGACGGTGATGAAAACAGCAGACATTAGATAAAGTCCACACCAGTAAATACACAGGTGCGGACTGACGCGTGTGCGGGTGCAGGGTAGAAGGTTGAGGGCGGGGAAGGCCGGGGTGCGGATTCTGAGAAGGACAAGGTGGGCGGCTCCCAGAGGCAGGAGGGGCCTGGGGCACCTCCCTAGGTGGGGGTCCCGGGAGACGTCATGAATTGGGGTGTGCTGTTTCAGGTCCTGCGGTACGTCCAGGCTGGCACAGGCTGGAAATGCCCAGATCTGGGGCTCCAGCATCGGCGCGGTCGGAGACCTGGCCGTGACCGCTAAGGGGCAGGCTGGGTTGGGGCTCCCCAGTGGGAAGCCGCAGGGTGAGACGGCGAGGAGAAGGGGGGAAGGAGACGGTGAGGGGGTGGACTGACCCGACCTTGGTCTCCAGCGCCCCAGCCAGGGGCCCAGCGAGCACAGAACGGGCGCTCCGCCCTTGTTTCCGGGAGCCTGAAGGTCTGAACGGCCCTTCCTCGCACACCCCTCCCGGCAGCCTGGGTCCCGCGGGCGCCGCTGGGGGGCGAAAGCGCTCGGGCCACCGAGTGAGCGCAGGGATGCGCTGGGCGCGCAGGGGAGGCGGGGGCGCTGACCTGGGGCGCAAGGCCGGCGGGGGGCCGGGGTGCGGGAGGTAGGGGCGGGGGTCACGGGGAAAAGGGGGGGGCTGGGGAGTTCGTTCTGAGGGACCCAGGGATGTGCGGGGACTTGGCTTCTGGGGGCCCCGCGGAGCCCAGGGGGCGCAGGTGCGTCGGCGATGGGGGCGCACCCCAAGGCCGGCGCGATGAATGACCGACCGCCCCGGTCCCCGCAGCGCAGGACCGGCTTGGAGGGGCCGGGCCGGGGCGCCCCCTCCCGGAGCCCGTCAGGGGCTGGAGTCCGCGGGCCCCTCCCGCCGCCGCGGTGCTGGATTGGGGGCCGGCGCGCCCCACCGACCCCGCGGGGTGGCCCCGCCTCCGGGGCCGCGGGGAGGCCGCGCCGTGGGGGGGGGGGGGGCGGGGCTGGCACTGCCCCCTCCCCCCTCCGCCCGCCGGGGGCCCCTTCTTAAGCCCGCGGAGCCTCTGGCTGCCCCTCACTCGCCTCCCCGGTAGGTCTGCCTCCTCCGCGATGGCCTCGGCGCTCAGCTGCGTCTCCAGGTTCAAGTCCTTCCTGATCTTGTTCCTCACGCCGCTCCTGCTGCTGCCGCTCGTCATTCTGGTGCCCGCCAAGGTCAGTTGCGTCTCCCCGCAGCCCCGCGCCCCCCGCGCCCCCCGCGCCCTGCGCTAGCGGCGCGCACCCCCCGGGCTCCCGCGGGCTGCACTCGGGAGCTCCAGGCGCCAGGTGGGAGGTGCCGGCACACAATTTCGAAGGGGCGCGGAGACCCCAGGGCGCACCGACCTTGGGGTTCACAGATCCCAGGGGGCAAGAACCGGCCGGTGAGCACAGAAAGCTACAAGTTAGCAGGATCCTGGCCACACAGACCTCCCCATCCCCACACCCCATGGACTCAGCCCCTGGCTCAGAATGCCCCCTCCACCTCACCTTCGAATGTCACCCGTGCCCTCAGGGCGCCCCGGGCGCCTGCCTTTCCCTCCCCCTCCCTCCCGTTTCTCCCCTTAGCAAACCAGGACCTGGCAGCGTGGGTGGCTTCCCAGGTCAGTCAGGGAGGAGCAGGGGAAGATCAGCACCTGAGTGGATCCGAGGTGCGGCCTTTGCCACGACCGGGCCCCCAGTTTCCCTCCCCACCATCCACATTTCTCCCCGGCTCTGAGGCTGAGAGGCTGGCTGGCGTCGGCCTGCGGCGGGCGGGAGGCGGGCGCGTTCCCAGGCTCACGCCTTGGGTGGCACGACCCGGGCCTTCGGGGAAGCTGGTCCCTTACCCAGCTGCCCAGCGCTTGGGGAGGGAGGCCCAGGATGAATGGCCTTGGCCGCAGGCGGGGGCGGGCGGGGAGCCCTGGCCGAGCTGGGCTGTGGAAGCCCATTTGGCAGCGGCCCGAAGCCCTTTGAAGCCTTTTGTGGCTGCTGGCTGCTCCTTCCTCTCTCCCTCTTTGAGCGCCTTCACTCCGAGCCCAGACAGGAAACCTCTCCGGTTCCACCCCCACCCCACAGGTTCGGGGAACAGAGGAGCTCTTTAGGGGTGCTCTGGGGGTAGTGTAGGAGGGGCTGGGGGCTCAGGAAACCCCTCGCAACAGAACTGCACTTCCACCACCCCCTCCCCTGCGTGCCTTTACCCAAAAGCCCGTATGTTCTGGGCCTTGGTTTTCTCATCTGTACAATGGGCCAGAAGGTGTGGTTCTGATGCTTTCTGACTTTGGGCACCAAAAGCGATGATGCCAGTTCCTAGGGTGGGGGAGGGAGGCCGGGGGGCAGCTTGGGCGGGCTGTGCGCAGCCCTGGGCCAGCCAGGGACAGCGCATCCAACCGTGGGGGGGTCCTCAGCACAGGGCCAGCTGTGAGCAGCCACAGTTCCTCGGTGACAGCCGGGGAGGGGGGGACCAGGCAGGGGACCCGACGGGGAGTGATGCTCCCTGGAATTGCGCGGGCACTCGGAGAGAGCGTGCCTGAGACCCCACTCCCAGCCGGCGCTCCCCACTCCCCTCGACTCCCCCGCAGGCACGCACACAGGCCGGTCCTGACGGGACCCTCCACCCTGGGTGTGTATGGGTGTGTATGCGCGTAGGCAGCCCGCCCTGGGAGCGAGGATCGGGCGACTGGAGGCGAGTCGGGCCTGAGAGTCGTTCCACAGGCGGCCTTCCTGTGCGTTCCCTCCCCGGGCGCCCGACCCCGCGCCTGTTTCCCAGTTTGTGCCACTTGTTTGGGTCCCCGGCAGAGAGCCCGCTGCCCCGCCCCCACAGCGCCCTGGCGGCAAAGGATCCAGGTGCACCTGAGGGGGGCAGGGCTGCGGGGTGGGCGGGGTCCCAGCGGCCACCCTCCCGGCAGCGCGCCTCTCCCTGGCTGCGCCCCTCCCCTGCCCGGATCCCCTCCCGGCACCACCTCTGCTCTGCTTCTCGTGCCTTTTCTCTGAGTCCTTTCTGTAAAAGATGGCCCTTTAACAAGGTAAACAGTGTGTGCATCGTACTGTTATTTTGTAGAAAGTATTTAAAAATTCCTTTTTTTTTTTTTACATTTTTTCATGTTTATTTTTGAGAGAGAGAGACAGAGCACGAGCAGGAGAGGGGTAGAGAGAGAGGGAGAGAGAGAATCCCAAGCAGGCTCCGCACTGTCAGAGCAGAGCCTGATGCAGGGCTTGAACCCACAAACCGTGAGATCGTGACCCGAGCCGAAACCAAGAGTCGGATGCTCGACCGATTGAGCCACCCGGGTGCCCCCAAATTATTTACAAATTCTTATTTTCGAGGTCTGTTAAGTATAATGTAAAGATGAAAACACCCTTAAATGCCCTGACACACACCGGCACACAGGTATGCTCTCTTACCCACATTTCCCCATTAAGCACTGTGTCGTGGACACCCTAGCTTGTTAATAATTAGGTTAATATTCAGCTGTGTGTGCAGCATGTAGTTGCTGAGCCCCATGAGGTGCTGGGTGCTGCTGTGTGAACCCCAGTGTCCGCTCTGTCTTGGTGTTAAGTGCCCTTCCAGACGCCTTCCCGGCTGCTCACGTTTGGGCCTCCGTGAACTGGTTACATGTGTCCCGTTTCTGAGTTTAGACGATACGGGTCCCCAAGCCCTCTCTGCACACTGGTCGATAACTGCCCTTGACTTGGAAGCAGGTGGGGGGCGGGGGGGCTGGGGTGGAGCCTTGCTGCCGCAGGATGACGATGAAGAGAAGGATTTGTGGGCAGTGTTGGGGCTTTTAAATTCTCTATAACGCACCCCCTTCTTGTCCGCCCTGGAGGGGATCTTTCCTCGCCTCCCCCACCACGGAACCAAGGTCCAGACACACATCAGGGACCCTGAAGGCCAGACAGTGGCAGACAGTGGACGTGGAGCAGGTCTGTCTGGGGCCGAAGCCTGGGCTTTTGACCGCGCTGCAGTTCGGCCTTGAACCCTGTGGCTCCGACCAGCTTTCACACTGCAAGCCCTGGGCCCGGGGACATCTGGCGAGGTCTGGGGACGTTTTGTACAGTCGCACCTGGAGAGGGTTCTTTGTGCTGGCGTCTGGTGGGGGCAGAGGCCACGGAGGCCGGGTCTCGCGTGCCAGGCTGGCTCCGGCCCCCAGCTGCAGGCAGTAGGGAGTGCCAGGCGCTCCTGGAGGCCCAAGGAAGCTTGGTTTGTATGGTGGTAACACCACCCAGGCGGAGAATTTCCAGGTCTTCGTGCGACGTTCCTGCACACGGCAGGCGGTCTCCTGGGTCCCGAGAAAGTGAAGGTGCAGCGGTGCGTCTGCCGTCAGGGAGACGGCTCGGGCCCTGCGGGCCTGTCCCCGTGTGGGCACTCGGCCAGCGTCCCTGAGTGTCAGCCCGTCCTGGGTGCTGAGGACAGAGTGACCCACCGGCACGGGCTCTGCCCCCAGGTGTGTGTGCCGGGAGGGGCCGGGGGGGGCGGGAGGAACGGGGAGCTGGGCGGCCAGCTGTCCCTCTGGGCGGGTGGGGGGGTCAGCATGTGTGCAAGGGAAGAGCGGTGACAGTCACTCACTGCCACAGGGGTGTGGGGGGGTGGCTGGAGGGCCTGGTCCTCACAGGGCCTCCCTTGAGTCCTGCTGACGCATCTGGGGTTTGTCCTGAAGGTAACAGGAGGCTTTTAAAGGCTGCAATGACCTCAGCAGATTTGCAGATTGAGAGGGGAGCAGTGTGTGGTGCTGGACGTGGCGGGCGGGCAGGCGGGCGGTGGCCTGTGGTAGCCTGTGGTGGCATGTGGTGGCCCGTGGTGGCCCGTGGTGGCGGGCGGTAGCGCGTGGTGGCGCGTGGTGGCCTGGGAGGGAGGCGCTGGGGAGCAGGGCCAGGGGCTGCAGGTGCGGCTGATCTGGGGGAGGGGCTGGGAAGAGGGAGGTGGCGTCTGCGTGGACACCGAAAACCCGTGCCTAGGGAGGTGCCCGGAGGTGGCGGGCGGAGGCCCACAGTCCTGCAGCCGGTGCGGGGCGGCCGCCAGCTCGCACCGGGGCCAGGCCTCCCTCACCGCGAAGCCAGATCCCAGGGCTACGCGGCTCACGGGCTCAGGCGGACCCGTAGACCAGGATTTAATTCCCCTCGGGAGAGCTCGAGGCCTGCGTACCCAGAGAGGCCGATGAGAACGCGAGCGATGAGCCGCAGCGCCCTGGGGCGCAGCGTCCGGACCAGCTGGTGCGCAGCTGCGTTTGTGGGAGCAGGCGCTCCGAGCAGCCCGTGGAGATGGAAACGAGGAGCCGAAGCAGGAGTCGAGCGAGGGCATCGAGGGGACGACGTGGGGCTGCCCGGCTCCTGCGACGGCCGAGAAGAAGCACTTCCTCCACGACAGGAGGCCACGAATCCGTGCATCTGCTGCTGTGAGAGTGACCCGTGTGTCGGTAGAAACGGTGCAGGCCTTCCCGGACTCAGGATGCGGCTGGGTCCCCGTGCACCCGCGGGCGACCCCTGGGCTCCGCCAGCTGGCCCTGCAGCCAGGCTCCAGCCTGTTTCACCTCGAGTGCTGAACGTCGCGTACAGTTCACGGGGTGCCATCCCGGGGGGCAGCCAGGGCCCGTGGGGACACAGGGTGGCTGTCCGCCCGCCGCTGGCCTGGCGAACTCGCTGCTGCACGGGAGCTGAGGCCGCCACCACCAGCATCACGGAGAAGGCCGCCGTCCACGCAGCGCCGCGGGCTCTGAACACGGCGCTCGCTGCGTGTCGCCGCCTTGGCACGTTGTAGGGTTGAAAAACCGTCAGGTTGAACCGTGGGGAGCCGGGGTCCCCTCCCCTTCTCCTCCTTCCCCCTTCCCCTCCCCTCCCCCCCTCCCTCTCCCCCCTCCCCCCTCCGTCTACCCCCACCTCTCTTACTCTGTCCTGTGCAGGTACAAGGGTTTGCCCAGGGCCACAGCTGGGAGGCCGGGGCCCCGAGTCCCTTGATGCCGGGCCCTAGGTCCCCCTCTGACTCCCACGCCCTGTTCTGGCCCGTCCTGGCCGTGCCTGCGGCTGCCCGGCGCCCCGGTGGGGAAGGGGGCGCCAGCGTGCCAGGGCCTCAGGGCTGTCCCTTCAGTTCGTCAGGTGCGCCTGTGTCATCATCCTCATGGCCGTGTACTGGTGCACGGAGGTCATCCCGCTGGCCGTCACTTCCCTCTTGCCTGTCTTGCTCTTCCCGCTCTTGAAGATTCTGGACTCCAAGCAGGTGAGCACCCCCGGGGGCGCCGCACCTTCCGTCCCCACCGTGAGCAGCGGCGCTGCTGCCTGCCTGTCTCAGGGACGGGGGCCCGGGGCCGGCAGTGTGGCCAGGGCAGCACTGACGGGCCCCGTGCCGTCCGCCAGGTGTGTGTCCAGTACATGAAGGACACCAACGTGCTGTTCCTGGGCGGCCTCTTCGTGGCCGTGGCCGTGGAGCGCTGGAGTCTGCACAAGAGAATAGCCCTGCGCACGCTCCTGTGGGTGGGCGCCAGGCCGGCATGGTGAGCGCCTTCTGTCCCCGCACGGGGCTCCGCACGGCGGGGACACACACCAGGGGGCTCCACACGGCGGGGACACACAGTGGGTCGCACATGGGGTTCCGCACGGCCCGGGGACACGCACCGGGTCGCACACAGGGCTCCACACGGCAGGGACACACACTGGGTCGCACACGGGGCTCCGCGCGGCAGGGACACACACCAGGGGGCTCCGCACGGCCCGGGGACACACCGGGTTGCAAATGGGGCTCCGCACGGCGGGGACACACGCTGGGTCGCAAATGGGGCTCCGCACGGCGGGGATACACAGCGGGTCGCACACGGGCAAGGGCTGGCCTGGCCACGGGCTCACCAGGGTTTGGCAGGCAGGTGGCCCCCGGGTGGGGCCAGGTAAGCAGCCGTGAGTGAGGGTCCTCTGAATGCAGAGGAGGCTGGGCTGCGAGGGCCCCTCTGTGTTCAGCAGACCTGGGGAGGGGTCACAGGCCCCGCAGGGAACAAGGTGGGTGCAGGCTCAGTCAAGCCATGCCCGATACCCGCGGGGGTTTTATGGGGAAACAGGAAATGGGCTCAACAACCAGCTCAAGGGGAAACAGAAAGGCCGTCCCTCCCAGGCTGGCACGCGTCCCCTCTCTGCACAGAAGCCCTATGTCACCTTCCCCCACGTCACTCAGTACTTCACTTTCTCACCCCGCCCTGAGGCCTCCCCCGCCCGCCACAGGCCACGTCCCACCATGGAGTTGACCCCCTGGGGCGGCGAGAGCACCCGCAGACCCGGGGCGGGCGGAGCTTCACCACCCGGCCCTCAGCACCTGCTACCTTGCCCTCGGGCGGGGCTGGGACGGGCCTGAGCCTCTCCTGGGGACTCGGGCCGCACTTTCTCTCGGGCTCCGTCAGTGAAGGCGTGTGTCCAGCCCTGCCTCCCGAGGCAGCCGCCGCTGAATTCCCCGTAGATCCTTCCTGGGGAGTCCGTGTGCCGGGGTCGTGCGGGGGGCACTCGATCTGTTACGCTCCGTGGCCTGGAGCTTCGGCAGGGGTGGTTTACAGGGTCGGATGCAGAGCCCCTGCGTAGTCTAGAGGCTTGAAGCTTGAATTCTAGAATTCTCAGAATCCTCGATCTCGGGACCCTGGGAGCGGGGAGCTTCTCCACGAGCGGCCGGGCCTCCTTCTGGAGTGGGCCGCACAGACTGCCTTCCAAATCCAGAGGGCTGCCCGCTCTGCTCCGCCCCTCCTGCCCCCTGGCTCCGCCCTCCCGCCGTCCTCGAGCTGGGGGGACCTTTCCGTGGAGTCCCCGTGGGGCCTTGAAGCGCCGTCTTTGCTCGTGCAGCCCGGGGCCTCGTGGCCTCAGCTCCTGTGGGTCCGCGAGCCCCACCTGCACGGACGCCTGTTGAACCTCGGTGCAGTGCAGCCCTTGATCCTTCCCCAGGCCGGTCAGTGACCTCAGGGAGGGGCCTGGCCCGCAGGGGCACGGAGACCGCGAGCAACTGGGTCTCCCTCAGCCACCCCCCACGAGAGGAGCTTCCACTCCGGCCCCGGAGCCGCGGAGAAGAAGTGGGGAGCAGATGTGGGGACGTTCCTCCCAGCCCAGCCGAGGACTAGCGTCGAGGGAGGGAGGGGGGAGGGGCGCTCAGGCCTGGGGGCCGAGCTGGGACGGAGGCCGGGAGAAGGAGGGAGGTGTTCTTAAGGCCTCGAGGAACCCGTCTGGGAAGGTGGGGGTGTTATCTTTGAAGGGAGCCTGTTTCCAGAACAGTCTGTGGTCCTGGTCCACTGCCGAGTGGAGGGGGCCAAATGCATGGATGGGGGAGGTGGGGGCAGGCGCCCCTCCCCTGCGGGCTGGCCGCCCCGCCCTGCTCACCCTGGGGCCAGCTGGCGCTTCCCTGGCTGGGTGGGAGCCCCTCACAGCCATGATCCGTCTGAGGTCTCTCGGCGACGCCATGGCCAGCACAGGGCATCACAATGTTCGTGGGGAGAGTTCGAAGGGGTAGGCGCTGTGGCTGTGACCCCTTCCACCGTCTAGGCTTGCATTGGCTCCCGTACCTCGGCCCCGGCCCCCGCCTCTGCCGCAGGGTAACCCGGGCCCTAGCTGCTCCCAAGGCACTGGGGGAACCGTGGCTTCCCTCCCCCTCCCCCCTCTAGGCTGATGCTGGGTTTCATGGGGATCACGGCCTTTCTCTCCATGTGGATCAGCAACACGGCGACCACGGCCATGATGGTGCCCATCGTGGAGGCCATACTGCAGCAGATGGAGGCCGCCAGCACCGCAGAGGCCGGCCTGGGGGCCCTGGAGCTGGCAGACAAGGGCAAGGCCAGCCAGCTGCCAGGTGAGCCCCCCGCCCGTGCCTCCCTCCCCCGTCTGCACCTGCTTCTGCTCAGGGGCCTCTGCTCTGCTCGCACACGTGCTCCCCGCCAGGCCCGGGGCTCGGGAAGTCAGAGGGCGCCTGTCCCATTTATTCTCTGCCGCGTCCACTGCGCATCCCCGGGGCTTCACGGGGGGTGGGGGGCCGGTGGCCTCGTCGCTGGGTCCTGGGCCCAGTTCCGGGGAGAGCAGAGCCCAGCAGACTGGGTCGAGAGGCCCCTGGCATGGCTCCTCTGACCCGGGCATGCCTTAGCCGGCCGCCGAGGGAGCACAGAAGAGGGCCAGGCCTTGTGGGGGAAGAGGGTCCCTGAGGTGGACACGGGCTCCTGTCCCCGTCCCCCAGCGGAGGGAACAGCCTGCGCAGGGACAGGGCGGGACGGGAGAAGGGCGAGTGTGAAGCCTCTGCGTTTGTGTGGAGCTAAGGGCCCCGAAGGAGGTGGAGGCAGACGGCAGAGGGCCCAGGCTGGCTGGTGCAGGGGCAGCGGAGGGAGCAGGCGGGGGGGGGGGGGGGGGGGGGGGGGGGGGGGGGGGGGGGGGGCAGGGGCGGGGGCGGAGGCTCAGCCCGCGCGCTCCCCACAGGGAGCCAGGTGACCTCTGTGGGGCCCACTGAGGGGCTGTGGGCTGACCGCGAGCGGAGGCGCGTCCGCAAGGCCATGACCCTGTGCGTGTGCTACGCGGCCAGCATCGGAGGCACCGCCACACTGACGGGGACGGGGCCCAACGTGGTGCTCCTGGGCCAGATGCACGAGTGAGTCACGCGCCTGCCTTCCGGGCACATAGGAGGGCCCCGGGGCTGGGGCCCAGCTCTCCTCCCTGCTCAGCTGGGGCCGGGCAGACCCTGCGGGGTGGGCGCCGGTGTCCACAGACCCCGTTGGCTTCTGCTGGGGGTGGGGGCGAATCCTGCCCTTCTTCCCGGCCTCTCGCTCAGACAGGAACGTGCGCTGAGCACTGAGCCGAAATCGAGGGAGTGGGCAGCGTGGCGAGACGCTGGTCCCCCCCCCAACTTGCAGGGACTGGGCACAGACGCCCCCTCGCAGCTGGGCCGCTGAGCTGGGCTGTTGACGGCGGTGCCCTACGGGAAGGGTTAGAGGTCAGGGCACTTGTGGGGGTGGGGCTGGGGGCGTCCCTCCCCCGGGGCCCTGACGGTCAGCTGCCTGCAGGGATGGAGAGTTCCCTGAAGGCTGGGCAGGCAGGGCGGCTGGGAGGCGGGAAGGGGCCCAGCCCGCAGACGCCCGAGGCCCGGCTCGCGGACTGTTGTGACTGTTCCGTAATGACAGCTCACCGCTCTCCTGAGGGTTCCTCTGGGGAAGGCGGTGCTTAAGGGACCCGGTGCCTACGGGTGGGGGGCGGAGGGCGGCCCGCCGCGGAAGTGATCCTCCGCCAGCCCCAGGAAGCTCGGGAGAGTGGCTTTCCCAGGGGCCCCTCCGTCGCGTCCTCCGCGGAGCCCCGACGCTGTCGGCCGGCGCGGACTTTCGCGAGGCCTCCGGGGGGCAGGGGGGACTGGACCCGCAGGCGGGGCGGTCGGCCGCCCCCCAGGCTTGTCCCGTGAGCGGCGGGGGGCCGGGGGGCCGGCGCTCAGGGCCGTGGGGCGCCGTCTCAGCGTCCGCCCTGGGGGCCGCCGTGCGCAGCTCAGCGTCCGCCCCGCAGGTTGTTTCCGGACAGCCAAGGCCTGGTGAACTTCGCCTCCTGGTTTGGGTTTGCCTTTCCCAACATGCTGGTGATGCTCTTGCTGGCCTGGCTGTGGCTGTGGTGCGTCTACATGAGGTTCAGGTGAGCGGGTGCGGCGCGGCTGCGTGAGGCCCGGGTGAGCTGCGGCCCCCCCACCCTGCGCCCCTGCACCAGCCCAGACCCCGCGGGGCACCTGTGAGGCCTTCCTGTGTGGCCCTGGCCATTGCTCCAGCCCCCCCCCCGCACCCCCCTCTGGCCCAGAGTAGGGGAAGCTGCTGGCCAGGCCTCTGCACAACGCCTCCGTTCCCTCCCTCCCCACCTCCCCACCCCCATCCGTGTGGGAAGAGTCGCTCACAGCCCGAGGTTGTGCTGGTGGGGCCCCTCCCGCGGCCATAACTGAGCTCTCGGGGTGCGGGGTACGGGGTCCTCTCCACTCCCTGCTCCCATCACCTGCCTGTGCCTGTCAGACCCCTCGGGGCTCCCGCCTCGTGACCTCATCTGACCCCAGGTGCTGCCAAAGGTCTCACCCCCTGATGCCAACTGGGCGTTAGGGCTTCAACATGCCGTGAGTGAGGCCCGGAGCAGCCGGCATCAGGGGCACCAGCCTGGGCTGCGAGGCCCACTGACCCCCTGGCAGAGCGCGGCAGGCACTGGGCTGGTCCTCTGCCAGCCTTGGGGCGTCACCTCAGGACCCCGGCCCCTGCTGCCCTTCTGACGAGGGAGTCCGCCTGTGTCCGCGTCCACGCTGCCGCGTCCACACTGCCGGCCACGCCTCCAGCTCCGCGGCCCTTGCTACCCCGACGCGGAGCCTGGGGGTGGGCAGCTCCCAGGAGCCTTGCTGAGACAGCTAGTCACGCTCAGCTGCAGCGACGGGAGCCGCAGGGGCTGTCCTCCTGCCCAGGCCGTGCCCGGAATGTTCCGGGCCCCCTGGATGCCCTCACTGGAGCTGGGGTAGCACCTGCCTCTGCGGTGCCCTCACCCGGGTCCCTCACCGGACGGTCGTGGGGAGCCACCCCAGCCTCAGGGAACCCGTCTGGAAGCTGCCTTCCCGAGTTCATGAGTTCACGTCCGGCCACGGGGGCCACAGGCCCCGGCCCTGACGGGACATCACAGCTGGCTCGCGCCCAGCTCTCCTAGCCGGGCTGCCCGGGGCCAGGGGTGGGGGCTCCTCCACGCGCCGGGCACTCCTAACAGAGACTTCCTGCCCCGCGCCCTGCGAGGGAAGACGGGCAGGTGACGGGGGCCGCCCCCGGGCAGGGGCTCGCTCAGGGCCCCGTGGGCGACGGGCAGCGCCGGCTGACCGCCCGCCCGGCCTCACGGCCACCTGTCTCTGCACCTCTAGCTGTAAGGCGTCCTGGAGCTGCGGGCTGGAGAGCAGGGAGCGCCAGGACGCCGTGAGCACGGTGCTGCGGCAGGAGTACAGGAAGCTGGGGCCCTTCTCCTTTGCCGAGGCCAACGTCCTGGCCTGCTTCCTCCTGATGATCGGCCTCTGGTTCTCCCGGGACCCTGGCTTCATGCCCGGCTGGGTGTCGCTGGCCTGGGAGGAGGGCAAGACGAAGTAAGTCACGCCCCTCTGTTCCGGGCACGGCTCCCGCCGGCCAGGCAGGGTGGCCCGGCTGAGGCGGGTAGAGATTTGCTCAGCCCGGAGCTCTGCCGTCTTTCCTCCCTCTGAAGGCAGACAGGGCCCGGGGTCCGGGGCCTCTTTGGTCCGGAGGGTGTGAGCTGCCTCCCTCCAGGCTGCGCTGTTCTGTGGCAGAAGGAAGCAAGGTCGAGAATCACCCGCGCCCTAGACAAGGCGGGCGGGCGGGTGGGAGACGGCTGCCCGTGGCCACCTGCCGCCCGCGGCCTCTTGGGCTCGCACCGAAGCCTTCGTGGGCACCCTGTGAGCCCAGGATTCTGGAGTCTGATGAGCACGGGTCATGAGGCGAGTCCACGGAGCCACGCAGACCGAGAGGGGAGCCAGCGGCTGAGGGTCACCCTGCTGGGGGCAGAGCTGGGCCGGGACGTGGCCATCCTGGTTTCCAGCCGGGGTTCCGTCTACACGGCCCTTAGGGCTCCAGTCCTCACACTCACCTGAGCCTGTAGACACAGAGCAGGCTTGTTCGGGGGGGGGGTGGCCCCGAAACTGAGCCGGGCACATCCGTGTCCTCTCCCCGCTAGGTACGTGTCCGACACCACCGTGGCCATCTTCGTGGCCACCTTGCTGTTCATAGTGCCTTCGCAGAGGCCCCAGTTCCACATCCGCGGCCAGACGGAAGAGGGTAAGGCTCCCGGGAGCCTTCGCCGGCCCTTCCCTGGGACGGTTTGGCGCAAAGGCTTCTCTTGTGCCCTTCAGACATTTGAAACCCCGTCAGTTTTACAGCAGAAAGAGACCAGCTTCCAACTTCCCGCAAGGCCATCCGCGTGGCTTGGTCTCTCTCTTCCGGTCTTTGCTAGGGTGGGTGTGTGTTACTCGGGCCGCTCAGACTGTTTCTCGGTTGTTTGGGTTTTTGTGTTTTTACAGTGTGAGCACTTCCCGGTAACGGCCCGGCCTTATGTCCGCTTCCTCAGCCACAGCATCGTAGCCCCTCGAGGGCCGGAGCTGTTCTCTCTGATGGAACGTTCTGGCTGTTTGGCATTTTTCATTATTACCAATTAGTTTTCGGGTGTATAGGTGTTTCTTCTTCAGGATAAATTTCCAGGAGTGGTGTTATTATAGGAGCATATTTGGGCCGATGCGTATGCTCCCAGGAGCGGGTGACAGTTTTACCACATCTTCACCGGCAATGGGTGTGGTGGTCGTTGTGAGTTTCAGCTGACTCGTAGATGGGAGGGTGTCCGTGGTCCACACAGGCTTTGATTCCCCTGCATTCGGTCTCTTGTGCTGCCCGATGCTGCCCTGGCTGGTGTATGTGTGTGTTTTCTTGTCTCTTCTCAGAAAGGAAAACTCCATTTTACCCCCCCGCGCTGCTGACCTGGAAGGTGACCCAGGAGAAGGTGCCCTGGGGCATCGTGCTGCTGCTGGGGGGTGGCTTCGCGCTGGCCAAAGGCTGCGAGGTAACGTCCCTGCCGAATGCCAGGGCCCCTCTTGCACGAGGGGGCGTCAGAGAACTGAGGCGCCCCTCCGCCCACACGCCCGCGCTGTGCTCTGAGGCCCCGTGTCTGTCTGCTCCACATAACGCATGTGTCATGAGGACAGGGACCCTGTCTTGTCCCCAAAGAGCCCTGCACCACAGGCAGTGCCGGGAAGGGAGGAAGCGCTCTTTGAGCAATTGCAGCAACGAGTCAATAAGGGACCGAAAGAGTCAGTTAACCCAGGGAGGCAGGGGCTGCGGGGAAGGCTGCCCGGGGGTTGGCAGTGATGATCTCTGCTTTGATTTGTTCTGGGAGGGTTTTCTTTCGAGTCCCTGTGACTTTCTACCACTACACGTGGTTCTTCTACTTGATGAAATCCTTGTTGATACAGGTGACGTTTAAAAATTTTTCCCGGGGCGCCTGGGGGGCTCAGTCGGTTAAGCGTCCGAGTCGGCTCAGGTCATGATCTCGCGGTTCGTGGGTTCGAGCCCCGCGTTGGGCTCTGTGCTGACTGCTAGCTCAGAGCCTGGAGCCTGTTTCAGATTCTGTGTCTCCCTCTCTCTCTGACCCTCCCCTGCTCACTCTCTCTCTCTCTCTCTCTCTCGCTCTCAGAAATAAATAAAACATTAAAATAAATAAATAAATAAATAAATAAATAAATAAAAATTTTTCCCTAGATGGGTATGTAGCAACACAGAAGGAGAGGACAGGCATTTAGGAGAAAACACACACAGATGAAACTTTCTTACTTCTGTCCTTCCCCAGTAGGGAATAAATGAGGTTGAGGGAGAGATGAGCCACCTGGGTGTTGATATCTTCCACCCACCCATCCATCTATCCATCCACCCATCCAGCCACCCATCCACCCACCATCCATCCATCCAGGAATAGAATGTCTTAGACATATTTGGTCTATGTTGTTTTGCTGGAGGAGCTTGGTGCGTAGCAAGAACAGAAATATCTTTGGGATGAACAAATCATCCATCTGTCCGGTCACCCCATCCATCCATCCATCTGTTGTTTCTCATTCATTCATTCGTCACACGTTCCCTTTATGTCCCTGTTAGATCAGCCCAGGCGTTACAGAGGAGATTCATATGTGTCCCTGCTTTGAAGCCTCTGCAGCCTGGGGAGGGATGCGTGTCTGGAAAAGCGTGTCAGGAGGAAGTGACGCGTGGGTGAAGGAACAAGTGTGTGGTTTCTAGGCAGGAGCCGCGGATGAGGCTGGTGCAGCCGCTCCGCCGAGGGGCGCAATCTAGTGGACTTATTCTGAAGACAGTGGGCAGCCACAGAAGGGTGGAGGGCAGGAGCGGCAGAGTGGAGACCCAGGAAGGGAGGCAGTGCCGGAGATCCAGCAGGCGCTCGACACCCTCACCCTCCTCGGCCTCAGAGCCCTGCGGCGCCCTCCCGCCCTGGATCCCTCCTGAGCACGGACAGCTACAGGGCGCTGAGCGGAGATGGTGACCAGATGCTCCGGGAGGCCTGGTGGCTGCGTGGGCGTGAGGAGTAAGAGGAGCAGGGACCCCAGGGTGGACAGCAGGTGCTGGGAAGCCCGGGGAGCGGACTCTGGACCAGAGAGAGTGACTTCAGGTAGAGGCATGTTGAGCGTGACCCTGGGCCACCCTTCAGTTAGTAGAACAGCTGCTGGAAGCCGGTGCAGGCGACAGCGGGGCGAGGCCGGGACTCACACGTGGCCTGATGGAGGCCGCCTGTGGCTCTGATGCAGAGACCGGGTCAGAGGTGCAGGGGGGGCTGAGCGCTGGGGGCCCCCAGCCCCGGTGACTGCCGTCCGTGCTCCCCAGGCCTCGGGGCTGTCGGAGTGGATGGGGAAGCAGATGGAGCCCTTGCGCTTCGTTTCCCCCGCGGCCATCACCCTGATCCTGTCCCTGGTTGTCGCTGTGTTCACCGAGTGCACGAGCAACGTGGCCACCACGACCCTCTTCCTGCCCATCTTGGCCTCCATGGTGAGTGAGCTGCTGGGGGCGGGGGGACCCTGGGCCACGCCGGCCCAGGAGGCTGTCAAGCCGGGACTGTGTCCTGGGTCCCTGGAGGGATGGAGGCCAAGCACGCTTCGCAGGCCCGGGGCTCCGCGCCCCTGACGACCCTGAGCCTGCCGCCGGGGCGCCTCTGGCCTTGGATCCTCCGCACTCGCCGAGGTGCACAGCACGAGTCAGGCCCTCAAGTCCGTTCATCAGTGCGGCTGCTTGTTTCCCGAGCGGAGGAGACAGGGTTTGTGGGCGGGGGTCCCGGGGACGAGGGAGGGTTTGGAGCACGGAGCCCGGGGTGTGCACACACACAGCCACCAGGAAGAGACCCGGGGCGGGGTGCTGGGTCTCGGGGGTGGGGGGAGAGGGCGTGCAGGGCGCGTGGCGGTGGGCGGGGCCTGGCCAGAGTCTGTGCACGGGTCTGAGAAGGGGACAGGGCACAGGGAAGAGCCCTGTGACCCCTCACGGTGCCTTCCAACCCCATCGCCCCGCCGCACCGTGGTCCTGACCTCGGGGCGGTGCGGCAGGAGGCCGGGCCGGCGGCCAGAGGACCTGGCTCCAAGTCGTGGTTAGAGCCAAGCGAGAGGGGGGCCGTGGACTCCTCCGTGGGCGACGGCCGAGCCTGGGAGAGGCCGTGCTTGTCACCCTGTGGTTAGGAGTCTGAGCCAGAGCTCAGGATTCAGGCCGGCAGATTTCCACTCGGCGGCCCAGGCGCCCGTGTGTATGGAAGTAACGCCTGGTGGTTTGCTTCTTCCGATCTGAGTGCAGATGGAAGTGTTGAACTCCGTTCCCCTGGGCAGGCTGCTGGGGCGCCGGTGAGCCCCCCGCCCCGGGAGGGCCCGGAGCCACACAAGAGAGGTCTTCACCTGAGGGTGCGGTCAGGCTTTTCTAGAAGCGAGAAGCCCATGGTACCTCTGAGGCCCCTCGAGCTCCTGCCTCGGAGCCCATCTCAGGAGGGGGGCAGGTGGCGCCCCCCAAGCAGCATGTGGGGTGCCTGCGCCATGCATGTCCGAGACCAGGGTGAAGGGGGGCCAGGAAACAGACGGGGTGTGGCCTTGCAGAGGCCTGTTTATCCACAGGAACCATAACCTGAAGTCGGCCCCCACCCTCGACTCAGCAATTTCATGTCTGGGAATGTACCTTAGGAAGATTGCCAGAGGGCTCACGAGTACATATTCCAGAAAAACCCACCGCAAAGTCACTCATTATAAAAATATTCTCTTAACATGGGGCGCCTGGGGGACTCAGTCGGTTAAGCGTCCGACTTTGGCTCAGGTCATGATCTCACGGTTCGTGGGTTCGAGCCCCGCGTCGGGCTCTGTGCTGACAGCTCGGGGCCTGGAGCCTGTTTCAGATTCTGCGTCTCCCTCTCTCTCTGCCCCTCCCCTGCTCACACTGTCTCTCTCTTTCTCTCTCTCTCAGAAATAAAAACATATAAAAAATTTTAAAAAAAAATTCTGATAACAGCAGGGGATTGGGGAGATGAAATATATTCACAATGTGATCCTATCAAGCACCAGGCGGGGGGGGGGGGGG